GAAAAATATGTTTTTCTTTGAATTTCTGGATTCTCCCGGGGGTCCTCTGTGGTTCTCAGTGCACTCAGTGGCTGGGTTCTGCAGGGTTCTTTTGGGGGTTTTCTTTATTCCATGTATAGAAGGGGGAAATGCTGTCGAATTTGAAAATTAAGTTTTTCTTTGAATTTCTGGGTTCTCCCAAGGGTTCTCTGAGGTTCTCGGTGCACTCAGTGGCTGGGTTCTGCAGGGTTCTCTTGGGGGTTCTCTCTTTTCGATGTATAGAAGGGGGAAATGCTGTCGAATTTGAAAATTAGGTTTTTCTTTGAATTTCTGGATTCTCCCAAGGGTTCTCTGTGGTTCTCAGTGCACTCAGTGGCTGGGTTCTGCAAGGTTCTCTTGGGGGTGATCTTTTTTCCATGTATAGAAGGAGGGAAATGCTGTCGAATTTGAAAATGATGTTTTTCTTTGAATTTCTGGGTTCTCCCGGGGGTTCTCTGTGGTTCTCAGTGCACTCAGTGGCTGGGTTCTGCAGGGTTCTCTTGGGGGTTCTCTCTTTTCGATGTATAGAAGGGGGAAATGCTGTCGAATTTGAAAATTAGGTTTTTCTTTGAATTTCTGGATTCTCCCAAGGGTTCTCTGTGGTTCTCAGTGCACTCAGTGGCTGGGTTCTGCAAGGTTCTCTTGGGGGTGATCTTTTTTCCATGTATAGAAGGAGGGAAATGCTGTCGAATTTGAAAATGATGTTTTTCTTTGAATTTCTGGGTTCTCCCAAGGGTTCTCTGTGGTTCTCAGTGCACTCAGTGGCTGGGTTCTGCAGGGTTCTCTTGGGGGTTCTCTATTTTTTATGTATAGAAAGGGGGAAAGGCTGTCGAATTTGAAAATTATGTTTTTCTTTGAATTTCTGGGTTCTCCCAGGGGATCTCTGTGGTTCTCAGTCAACTCAGTGGCTGCGTTCTGCAGGGTTCTCTGGGGGGCCTCTTTTGTCGATGTATAGAAGGGGGAAATGTTGTCGAATTTGAAAATTAGGTTTTTCTTTGAATTTCTGGGTTCCCCCAGGGCTTCTCTGTGGTTCTCAGTCCACTCGGTGGCTGGGTTCCGCAGGGTTCTCGTGGGGCTCTTCGACCTCCCAGAACTCCATTCCCGGGCCACATTTTGAATGCCAGGAGCCAACTGTAGGCCACTTCGTGCTCTTCGACTTCCCAGAACTCCGGGACACATTCTGAATGCCCGGAGCCAACTGTAGGCCACTTCGTGGTGTTCGAGTTCCCAGAACTCCATTCCCGGGCCACATTTTGAATGCCCGGAGCCAACTGTAGACCACTTCGTGGTCTTCGAGTTCCCAGAACTCCATTCCCGGGCCACATTTTGAGTGCCCGGAGCCAACTGTAGGCCACTTCGTGGTCTTCGAGTTCCCAGAACTTCATTCCTGGGCATGATTTTGAAAGCCCGGAGCCAACTGTAGGCCACTTCGGGGTTTTCGAGTTCCCAAATCTCCACTCCCGGGCCACATTTTGAATCCTGAGGCAGGCTGATGCTGAGGCGTGGGCAGGCTGAAGCTGAGGCAGGCTGAGGCTGAAGCCGAGGCTGCAGGCAGACTGAGGCTGAGGCTGAAGCAGGCTGAGGCTGAGGCTGAGGCAGGCTGAGGCTGAGGCTGAGGCAGGCTGATGCTGAGGCAGGCTGAGGCTGAGGCTGAGGCTGATGCAGGCTGAGGCTGAGGGCTGAGGCCGAGGCTGAAGGCAGACTGAGGCTGAGGCTGAAGCAGGCTGAGGCTGAGGCTGAGGCAGGCTGAGGCTGAGGCTGAGGCAGGCTGATGCTGAGGCAGCTGAGGCTGAGGAGGCTGAGGCAGGCTGAGGCTGAGGCCGAGGCTGAAGGCAGACTGAGGCTGAGGCTGAAGCAGGCTGAGGCTGAGGCTGAGGCAGGCTGAGGCTGAGGCTGAGGCAGGCTGATGCTGAGGCAGGCTGAGGCTGAGGCTGAGGCTGATGCAGGCTGAGGCTGAGGCAGGCTGAGGCTGAGGCCGAGGCTGAAGGCAGACTGAGGCTGAGGCTGAAGCAGGCTGAGGCTGAGGCTGAGGCAGGCTGAGGCTGAGGCTGAGGCAGGCTGAGGCTGAGGCAGGCTGAGGCTGAGGCTGAGGCTGATGCAGGCTGAGGCTGAGGCAGGCTGAGGCTGAGGCCGAGGCTGAAGGCAGACTGAGGCTGAGGCTGAAGCAGGCTGAGGCTGAGGCTGAGGCAGGCTGAGGCTGAGGCTGAGGCAGGCTGATGCTGAGGCAGGCTGAGGCTGAGGCTGAGGCTGATGCAGGCTGAGGCTGAGGCAGGCTGAGGCTGAGGCCGAGGCTGAAGGCAGACTGAGGCTGAGGCTGAAGCCTGAGGCTGAGGCTGAGGCAGGCTGAGGCTGAGGCTGAGGCAGGCTGGCTGAGGCTGAGGCTGAGGCTGAGGCTGAGGCTGAGGCTGAGGCAGGCTGAGGCTGAGGCTGAGGCTGAAGGCAGAGGCTGAGGCTGAGGCTGAAGGCAGGCTGAGGCTGAGGCTGAGGCAGGCTGAGGCTGAGGCAGGCTGAGGCTGAGGCCGAGGCTGCAGGGCTGAGGCTGACTGAGGCTGAGGCTGAGGCTGAGGCTGAGGCTGAGGCAGGCTGAGGCTGAGGCTGAGGCTGAGGCTGCAGGCTGAGGCTGAGGCTGAGGCTGAGGCTGAGGCTGAGGCTGAGGCTGAGGCTGAGGCTGAGGCTGCAGGCTGAGGCTGAGGCAGGCTGAGGCTGAGGCCGAGGCTGAAGGCAGACTGAGGCTGAGGCTGAAGCAGGCTGAGGCTGAGGCTGAGGCAGGCTGAGGCTGAGGCTGAGGCAGGCTGATGCTGAGGCAGGCTGAGGCTGAGGCTGAGGCTGATGCAGGCTGAGGCTGAGGCAGGCTGAGGCTGAGGCCGAGGCTGAAGGCAGACTGATGCTGAGGCTGAAGCAGGCTGAGGCTGAGGCTGAGGCAGGCTGAGGCTGAGGCAGGCTGAGGCTGAGGCTGAGGCAGGCTGAGGCTGAGGCTGTGACTGCGACTGCCGTTGCCACTGCGACTGCCATCGCGAATGCGACTACGACTGCGAGAACAGCAGAATTCTACAACAGGATTCTCATGTGAATCTTAAGGGGAATGCTTCCAGATATGCTCCTACACATCGCTGTTAGGTTGCTTTGCCGGGATAATATTTTGTGCGGCAATCTTGGATCTTATTCCGACTCGCAATCTTATTCTCAGCTCGATCGGTGAATATTACCCAACAGCGAAGACTGATAGGTTGTTAATGGGGTCAAAAGAGAGCATCTGATGACTCCCCAAGGGGGTCTGGGCGGGAGCCGGACAGGCGAGAACCGGGCTCGTTTTAAGCAAACAGTCACTCACTTCGTGCTCTTCGACCTCCCAGAACCCCATTCCCGGGCCACATTTTGAATGCCCGGAGCCACCTGTAGGCCACTTCGTGCTCTTCGACTTCCAGAACTCCATTCCCAGGCCTCATTTTGGATGCCCAGAGCCAACTGTAGGCCACTTCGTGCTCTTCGACTTCCCAGAACTCCATTCCCGGGCCACATTTTGAGTGCCTGGAGCCAACTGTAGGCCACTTCGTGCTCTTGGACTTCCCAGAACTCCATTCCCGAGCCTCATTTTGGATGCCCGGAGCCAACTGTAGGCCACTTCTTGGTCTTCGAGTTCCCAGAACTCCATTCCCGGGCCACATTTTGAATGTCTGGAGCCAACTGTAGGCCACTTCGTGGTCTTCGAGTTCCCAGAACTCCATTCCCGGGCCACATTTTGAATGCCCGGAGCCAACTGTAGGCCACTTCGTGGTCTTCGAGTTCCCAGGACTTCATTCCCGGGCTACATTTTGAATGCTGAGGCAGGCTGAGGCTGAGCCTGAGGCAGGCTGAGGGTGAGGCAGGCTGAGGCTGAGGCCGAGGCTGAAGGCAGACTGAGGCTGAGGCTGAAGCAGGCTGAGGCTGAGGCTGAGGCAGGCTGAGGCTGAGGCTGAGGCAGGCTGATGCTGAGGCAGGCTGAGGCTGAGGCTGAGGCTGATGCAGGCTGAGGCTGAGGCAGGCTGAGGCTGAGGCCGAGGCTGAAGGCAGACTGAGGCTGAGGCTGAAGCAGGCTGAGGCTGAGGCTGAGGCAGGCTGAGGCTGAGGCAGGCTGAGGCTGAGGCTGAGGCAGGCTGAGGCTGAGGCTGTGACTGCGACTGCCGTTGCCACTGCGACTGTCATCGCGAATGCGACTACGACTGCGAGAACAGCAGAATTCTACAACTGGATTCTCATATGAATCTTCAGGGGAATGCTTTCAGACATGCTCCTACACATCGCTGTTAGGTTGCTTTGACGGGATAGTTCGTATGAAGCTCGGAGGCGGGCTTTGCAGTTAGAGCTCATGTTGGGTGCTAGTGGTGGTCCCTGGAAGATAACACGAGCGACAGGCCATTGCCAGAGCCCAGATTCATACGAATCGACGGGAAATTATCAAATGCGTCTTCCTGTAGACATCAGCGGGTCTGAGATCGGCCTGAAGCACGAGAAATGTTCGAAAACCTCTGATCATTAGGGTGCAACTTTGGGTGCTTGCGACGGTTTTTCGAAGATAACTCGAGCCACAGGCCATTGCCAGAGCCCTGATGCATTCGAATCAACAGGACATGATCCAGTGCATCTCTCTGAAGGCACCAGAGGGCTGAGATCAGCCTGGCAAGGGAGAAATCTTTGAAACGCTGTAATAATTAGAATGCAACTTTCGCTGGGCAATCGCAAGAGGAAGCTCTACGAGTTCCCGGCGGTAACCAAGGTTGACGATTTACCGCCGGCGCCCAGTTTGGTCTGTTGAAAATTATGTTCTCGAAATTTGTCCAGTCGTTTGAGTCCTAGTATTTTCTCCCGCCATCTTCGATCTTATTCCCACTCGCCATCTCAATCTCAGCTCGATCGGGTGGATATTAATTTGAATTTCGGCTGAGGCGGGATCGGCTGCATTCGAATCGACAGGAAATGATCCAATGCATCTCCCTGTAGGCAGCAGAGGGCTGAGATCGGCCTGCGGAGGTGATTGCTATAGGCCTTGCCTCCCTCTCCTTCTCCTCGTTCTCAAGCTTCTTGTTGGTTCAAGGGCTAGTTTTTTTCAGTTGCTTCTTCCGACCTCGGATTTTCCGGGTGGCAACTGTCTCTCCATCGGTGTCTTTCGCCTGAACCAGAACATCTGGATACCAGCTTATCATGTCCGACTTGTCTGCTGTCTTGCCGCAAATGCACGCGTGGCTTTCCGCGAATGCGCCTGCCGTGCTGTTTGGTCTGTTCACCACGCGGTTTCCGAACTTCAAGAAGAAGCAACTGCAATCGCATTTCTCCTTCGTGGATCGCGCTGGAATCCTCTACATTTCCTCGGAGGGCACCGCGGGCAATGATGCTGGCGGTGCGGCCGTGCTGACGAGTTTGTCAGGGTCAGAAATTGCGGCGCAACGGGAGTTGCAAACATGGGACACACGGTTTTCAGTGGGTGGGTTGGTGCACGTCGACCTTGACAGGGACGTGCGCCTCGCTAAGGTCATCGAGTGCCGCGGGGTGTCCATGGACCTCTTCGTGCTGGCCAACGAGGTGCTCGCCCCAGACATCCCCTTGTGCGCCATCCGGCAGTTGCCCGAGCAGTTGGCCGCAGACGCGTTGGCGAAGGCTCATGGGAAGGATGTTCGGTTTGGCGGAAGTTTCCGCTATGGAGACTTTGTCGAAGTTCGTTGGCCCGAGCACGGAATCTACGTGCCAGTCAGGGCGCCGGAAACCAGGACACTGACTAACCAGGACGCAGACGCGTTCTCTGCGCTGCAGGAGTCGTTTCGTTTTTGTTTCGTTATTACCTAACAGCGAAGATTGATAGGTTTCTAATGGGGCCAAAAGAGAGCATCTGATGACTCCCCAGGGGGGCCCGGGCGGGAACCGGACACGAGAACCAGGCTCGTTTTAAACAAACAATCACTCACTTCGTGCTCTTCGACCTCCCAGAACCCCATTCCCGGGCTACATTTTGCATGCCCGGAGCCAACTGTAGGCCACTTCGTGCTCTTCGACTTCCCAGAACTCCACTCCGGGGCCACATGTTGGATGCCCGGAGCCATCTGTAGGCCACTTCGTGCTCTTCGATTTCCCAGAACCATACTCCCGGGCCACATTTTGGATGCCCGGAGCCAACTGTAGGCCGCTTCGTGGTCTTCGAGTTCCCATAACACCCTCCCGGGCCACATTTTGAATGCCCGGAGCCAACTGTAGGCCATTTCGTGGTCTTCGAGTTCCCAGAACTCCATTCCCGGGCCACTTTTTGAATGCCCGGAGCCAACTGTAGGCCACTTTGGTTTTCGAGTTCCCAGAACTCCATTCCCGGGCCACATTTTGAATGCTCCCAGATATGCTTCCAGATATGCTCCTACACATTGCTGTTAGGTTGCTTTGCCGGGATAATTTTTTGTTTCGTTATTGGAGGGGAGATTCTTTGCTGATGCTGACCTCCAGGTTTATTCTTGGAATATTGCGTCGACTGGTTTCTTGGCGAAGCCGTTTCGAAAAGTTGGTTTCTAGCGTTGCTGCGTGTCCTGGTTTAGCGTGTCTGGGTCTACGGGGCCCTGGGCCAGCGAAGTTCAGCCGCTATTGTTGCGGATGCAAGAAAGCGTTCGTGATGGTCAAATTCTCCGATGGCGGCCAGGATTCCAAAGTCGCAGTGGCAGATGTCCGAGCACGTGGCGCCCCCTTCGTGGGCGAGGTGTTCGAGGAGAGCCCAGGAGCGCCGCAACGTGGGCCGCAGACTCGTTCTTTGTTTTCGCGCAAGGACGAGCAGCCAGAGGTGGTGGAAGACCCAGGATCAACTCGGTTTCGGGGCGTGGTGGTGAGCGTGAACGAAGAGAAGGGAGTTTGCACGATCGCTTCCCGTTTCGGGTCCATTTTCTGCCCCCGAAGCGCAGTCATTGCTGGCGGCGCTTTGAGGGTTGGGCGGGAGGCGAAGTTTGAGATTTCTTGGGGTCGCCAGCTTCGCTTGCAGGCCAGCGACGTTGTTCTGGGCCCCCTGAAGAAAATCGAGTCGGTGCAGCGGTGGGCTCAGCGCGCCAGGGGCGCGGACGCAATCTTGCGCGCCAGGGCGGAAGTCCCCGAGAATAAGGAGATTGATAAGAAGAACGCTGCCACGCTTGAGCGCATGAAGGCGGCCCATGTGGCCAAGCGCGCGCGTGCAGATGGGTAGGCCTACAACTATCTCCGCCTCGCTGGGCAGCATTTGTCCTTCCTCTCTCTTTCTCTCTCCGCCGCTTCGCTGGGGCCTTCGCAATCGAGGGGCGTTTGATTCAGGACGCGCCCCTTGCAGTCGATCGTAACGCATGCGCGGCGCATTCTGCGGCGTGCTTTGTTTGGCGGGGAGGTCCACTCGCGCGGGCCACGTGAGTTTCCTCCTTGGGATTAGTTTCGAATCTTCCTAGGAGAGTTTGATTAACTCTGAAAAAAAACTTGCATTTCCGCGCTTCCCAAGGCATTCCTTTACTATGGAAAAATAGTTTCGATCTCGGTCGGAGGGGCCAAGTTTGGGTTTTGACGCCGGATTCAGTTAGACGCCATCATGATGCGGCCCGGCAGTGCCAGAACCTTCCGTGCTGGCGCCCGAATACATTTGACTTCGCAGAGCCTTCGGGCGGGCGTTCTGGGGCTGTCGAAATGAATTGGCCGACGTTCGTAGTTGCCTTCTCGCGTCAGGGATCTATCGACGCGCTCCCGTCGGTCGTTCGTGCAATCCGACGGCTTTGGTTCGCGCGGTTGTCCAGGCCCCGGCGGGCCCCCCTAAGGCTGCGCATCAAAAGGCGTTGTTGCCGAGGGTCACCCGTACGTGTTGCCGATCCAGGTTGTTGCGGCTGCCACTAAGGTTGCGCACGAAAGGGCCTTCTTGCCACAGGCCACGAAAGAGGGAGATGTCATTTTGGCGCGCGGCTTTCAATGAAGTGTTTTTTCTCTTGTGGGTGTTTTCCAGCGATTTCTCATGTGAGCCTCCGTCCTCTTCACATCCTCCTCCTGCCGTTCCTCCTGCGTTTCTTTGTCTTGTGCCAGGTTGCCGGAGTCGCGCTCGGCGCTGGTGTCCGGTGCCTGTCATGTTTCTTTGCTCTGAATTCAATTGCTTCGCCCATTCCGCCGGCCGTGGGATGTTATTTTGGTGATGGTACAAGCTTCTTCAGGATCTCCTGGGGGGTTCTTGGGGTTCCTCGGCGGCTTCTTGGGCTCTGATGGGTCTCTTGCGGAGATATTGAGGGCTTCTTGAGGTGCTTTTTGGGCGGGAGAAAGGGTTGTCGATTATAGCGCCCACTGTGGAAGCAACGATCCGTCTGAGTGGTTGCGGACATTGCTTTCTTTCATGGGATGGCCTGGGATTTGACCCGGACCTATGCGGGATCTCGCGAATATACTACTCGTTCGGAGGCTCCCAAGGGCCGCCCTACACGCATGAATTAGACATGTTGTGAAATCGTTACCGGACATCTTACGCGCTTCTTGGGTGTGAGCTGGCGAATTCCTTTGCCGCCTCGCCAGTTGGGCAAGCGAGTGTCCGGACCTCCTCATAAGAAGTATGGGGGTGTAGAGGAGGAGGATGATGATGAGGAGGATTTGAAGCTATAGAAACGTACGTAAGACATTACAGATTCGTGCCCCAGTACAGGGCCTAATGGATAGGAGCATACGTAAAAGACATGGATTGGAGCCACTCCTGTGCGTAAGTCTGAGTGTGAGTGAGTTTGGGTATGAGTGTGACGAGCACGAGTCTGAGTCTAAGTGAGCCTGAGCACAAGTGAGTTTGAGGATAAGTGAATCTGAGACATTCTCGCCCTCTGCGCCCCTTGGGGTGTAGAAACCGACACCTCACCCGAGACATCCCCATACTTTACTCAGAACCCAGACGAATGTGGCCACCAAGGAATAAGCAAACTGCTCGAGACATCCTCACCATCTGCCCCCCTCCCCCCCCGGGGTGCGAAAACCCGCGCTTCGCTGGAGACATCCTGAACATCTGCTCCGAAAGCGGATGCTGTCGGGTGGTGAAACATGAGAACCGTTTGAGACATCCCGCCATTTTGTCGCGAGGGAGGAGTGCATTACCCCCTGGCGTCTCCCCCGTGGGGATGCTGAAATCTGCGCTTCGCGCGAGACATCCTCAGAATCTGCTCCGCCATCATCGCCATCATCACCATCATCATCATCATCATCATCATCATCATCATCATCATCATCAGAATCATCATCATCATCATCATCATCATCAGCATAATCATCATCATCATCATCATCATCATCATCATCATTATCATCATCATATGTTTCTGCAGCACCATCGTAAGATAACATCACATCGTAACCAGAACAACACACATAGTATTTAATCACGTACGATACGATAACACAACATATTACTGGAGTAGTAGCAAGAGCCCCATCTTTTGAAAATGGGAAATCAAAGCAGAGAAGCGACAGAGCAACGAGAGAGTATCCCCCCCGTCCCTGCAGAACCCAGCCACTAAGTGGACTGAGAACCACAGAGAACCACTGGGGGAACCAAGAAATCCCACTAGCCCTCTAGGCGTCGGTGGTTTAGAAGGTTTCCTCTTCCACCCCTCCTTCTTCCCCTGCGGGGAGGGGTTTACCCCTCCCCCTACCCCCTCCCCACTGACATGGACAGGGGAGGCCGCGTCGCGTTAAAGCGTCCAAGATCGACCCCTGGGAGGGCTAAAATTCGACACCCCTCACGAGGATCATGGCTCCTGAGGGGGGAACCCTAATTGAGGGACCCCCCCTCGTTGATCAATCTCCTCCAAGATGGCTCCAAGAGACGTCTTGGAGCCCCTCTTGGGCCCTGCGCGAAGGCTGGCGGAGCGCCGCCCGCTCGCCCGCAAGGCCCAAAAGCCAACCAAAACGTTCGAAGATACCTCCAAGACCCACCAGGGAGGAGGAAGAGGCGGAGGAGGAGGAGGAGGAGGAGGAGGAGGAGATAAAAGGCTCGAGCGCACCCCGGCGTCTTTTGAGCCTGGGGTGGAGGCCCTTCGAAACTTGGCCGCAGCCGAGAGATCCTCTGCGGCTATGCCTCTGAGAAGCCCGCGCGGAGGGTCGAGGCTTCCCACGACGCCGTGGTCGGTGGGCGCGCAGCTCAACACCCCCCCATACGGCCCCTGCATCACGACTGCTTCAAAAGTGCACGGCCGCGACCTGCACACGGTCGCCATACCCTGGGCGCGTTGCAGAACGAGTCCACAGGCCACCGGCTGCGCGAAGAGGAGGAGGAGGAAGATGAGGAGGAGGAGAAGGAGAGGGAGGAGGAGGAGAGGAGGACGAGAAGGCGGAGGAGAAGGAGGAAGAAGGGGAGGAGAACAGCTGCCGATCATCGGCGCTCTTCGTTCGAATGTCTGGTGTAGGATGGGCTGGTGGGGATTCGCGAAGCGTCAACAATTTTGCAAACAGATAAGTTGTGAGCGCCAATTTTGCAAACAGAGCGCCAGTTTTCAAAACAGAAAACTTGTGAGGCCCAATTTTGCAAAGAGAAAGTTGCGAGCGCCAATTTTGCAACTAGAAAAGTTGTGAGCGCCAATTTTGGAAACAGAAAAGTTGCGAGCGCCAATCTTGAAAACACAAAAGTTGCGAGCGCCAATTTTGAAAACAGAAAAGTTGCGAGCGCCAATTTTGAAAACAGAAAAGTTGTGAGCGCCAATTTTGAAAACAGTTTTGGAAACAGAAAAGCTGCGAGCGCCAATTTTGAAAACAGATAAGTTGTGAGCGCCAATTCTGGAAACAGAAAAGTTGCGAGCGCCAATTTTGAAAACCGAAAAGTTGTGAGCGCCAATTTTGGAAACAGAAAAGCTGCGAGCGCAAATTTTGAAAACAGAAAAGTTGTGAGCGCCAATTTTGCAGACAGAAACATTGCCAGGCGACAACTCACACTCCCAACCTCTGGTTTTTGTAAGTTACAAGGACAATAAATCATGAAAACAACGAAGTTGTCGCCGACCACACCTACAAGAGCGGCGACAACGTCCCCGGCCAAGAGCCGACAACTCGGTTGCCCAACATCTGTTTTTTGCGTGTTGTAAGGCTAGCGCAAACTCCCCTCCGCTGACCTTACAACATGAGAAATCCTTACGTTGGGCACTTGAGTTGCGGGCTACAAGGGATTTTTAATTAAGCCGACAACCCGCCTTCCCAACATAAGGATTTCTCATGTTATAAGGCTAGCGAATTTTCCCCCACCCTAGCCTTAACAAATCCTGATTGTCCTCCTCCACTTCTTCCTCCACAACGCCACACTCGGCGACAACTTTCTTGTTTCCAGAATGTATTCCAACAGCTTTCTTGTTTTCACCGTTTTTCTTCTGACAGCTTCCTTGTTTTCAAAATTTCTTCCGACAACTTTCTTGTTTTCATAATTTATTCCGACAGTTTCCTTGTTTTCATAATTTATTCCGACAACTTTCTTGTTTTCAAAACTTATTCCGGCAACTTTCTTGTTTTCACAACTTCGTCCGACAGTTTTCTTGTTGTAAGAATTTCTTCCGACCGCTTTCTTGTTTTGAGAATTTCATCCGACAACTTTCTTGTTTTCAAACATTAGTCTGACAGCTTTCTTGTCTCCAGACATTCTTCCGACAGCTATCTTGGTTTCAGACTTTCCCACGACAACTTCCTTGTTTCCAAAATATATTCCGACAACTTTCTTGTTTCCATAATTGATTCCGACCGTTTTCTTGTCTTCAGAACTCCTTGCCCTTGTAACTTACAAAAACCAGAAGTTGCGAGCGCCAATTTTGCAAACAGCAACATTGCCAGACGACAACTCACACTCCCAATTTCTGGTTTTACTAAGGTACAAGGACAAGAAATTCTGAAAACAGCGAAATTGTCGCCGACCACGCCTACAAGAGCGGAGACATCGCCCCCGGCCAAGAGCCGACAACTCGGTTGCCCAACATCTGTTTTTTGTAGGTTATAAGGCTCGTTTTTTTCTGCCATCCGCTAGCCTTATTAGAACATGAGAAATCCTTATGTCGGGCACTCAAGTTGTCGGCTATAAGGGTTTTTTCATGAAGCCGACAACTCGACTTCCCAACTTAAGGTTTTCTCATGTTTTAAGGCTAGTTGTTTCTGCTCCGCCCTAGCCTTAACAACATATCCTGATTTCCCTCCTCCTTCCTCCACAACGCCACACTCGGCGACAACTTTCTT